AACACTTTTGTAGCAATGAGATCTCACTATGCTTCCCAGACTGGTCTCAAACTGCTGGGCTCAAGCAATCCTGCCTTGACTTCCCAAAGTGCTGGGATTGCAGGCATCAGGCACCATGCCTGACTCCTCTTCTAACATTTTAATCTCCTTTATAACTATAAATGTATTTGATAAGATGATTTGTGGCTATTTATCAAATACCTTCAAGTATGGCTCCAACTGCCCACAGTAGACAAGAAAATAACCTCATACCCATTCTTATTACATGCCACTCATGCCTCTGAAGCTAGACACTGACTTGCTTTTCTAATCTTATTTTTTAAATTCATTCATAAGATATATGCTTCACAGACACTTCTCACTATTTCCTTAGGGCAAAGAACATGCATTTCTGTACTTGTCCATTTGTGGTTGAATTTCTTCAAACAGTAATCTCCTTTCTGCTCTTACTTGGCTGATCAGAGTAAGCACTCTCTCTTCTTCCGTTCAAATCTTCTGATCCACTATCATAAACCTTACCATTCCATTTCACGTGCAATTGATGACTTTTTCCTCACCTTACTCAGGGCCCTTTGTGCTTCAATTATTGTGCATTCTTCATTGAATTCTCTAATTCTGTTTCCCCACTAGACATCCTGGATAGCAGAACTATGACCAGTTACTATTAGTTTTTTTTTTTTTTTTTTTTTTTTCAACAACCTACTTACAGTAAGAAATGATTCAATTTAAGATCAAATTAGCCAACTGCTTGTGTGACCTAGAAATAAACACAACTACTTAGCTATCTTTTCCCACATAATAGGGCCAATGGCAATAACCTCTGTCTACTGAAAAGCTGTCATAGTTTGTACTGATTTTGTTACAAACAAGATCTTTTACTATATACCAGAAAATAATAATCAAAAATACAAAAATCTACAGTGTCTGTGGTGAGAATGGCTCTTCCTTCAATGTGGTGCTTGTGCAGTACACAACCTATATTATATGTACTACCATATGGGTTTCCTATTTCTAACACTGTATTTTTTCAATGTTTAAGCTATGAGTCAAGAGCATAAATTATTTTATGGCTCATTTAGAGACAATGTAAAACAATATTCTCTTTCAACAAATAGAAGATGTTAACTACTGTCCTAATAATAATATGTACTTATTTATAACAGCGACTACTCACTTTTCTCTTAAGACCTTCTCTGATTATTATTTTAAAGTGAAATAGCAAATCATCTCAACTCCCTCCAGGCTAAATGAGTAACATCAGTATCAGTCACATTTGGAACCAAATGCATAATATCTATCTATAATACCAACCTTATTACTTATGTATTGCTCAGCCATATCATATAAATTATCTCATGATGTAAATATACTAGCATATACTAACATTACCACTTACTATATGCAAGTTATTTAAGTTCTTTAAATCTCAGTTTCTTTATTTACATAATCAAGAATACATTGACTTTGTGGAGCTGTTGGAAGAATTAAAGATAGTATCTTTAATATGCCAATAGGTGCCTTCTATTTCCAGAGGAAATTGGTTCCCACTGATAGATCTTGGTAACGGGGTAACCCTATGCATACTGTTGTCCTGTCAACAATGGACATTTGGTCCACAAGTCATCAAGTGCACATGATGTTGAAACAAAAATGTGCTTTCTCCCATAATTGGCACATAAAAATATTGGATGATTTAAGTCAAATAAGCAATTGAAACATAAGGAACATGGTCATATAGAAAGCCAAAGAAGATTTTCCCACATCTTTCTGACAAGTTTTCCTATACAATAGAGTTTATTAGAATGATTTTAAAGTCCAAATAATTCTTTGTTTGAGAAATGCATAGCACCATCTCTAGTACACACTAGACATTAAATGAATAGAAGCTATCACTAATCAGATTATAAGCTCAAAATTCAGAGAAGATAATGCAATTAGCATTTATTTTAGTTTCAAAAATCTATAATCTAAACCACAAAGTTGAAATCTTTTCTGTTAAACTGAGTAGTCATTGACAGAAATGTGGCTTGGTCTTATTTTGGCTGCCATATAAATAACATTTCAAATATAAAGGAAACATAGACCTCTCCTCTGTGCACCCCTTTTTTATCTACTGAAGAATAACATTATAGACACTTACGAGATTCAGCAACATAATGATTATGAAATTGATACAGACAGCAGCAGCAGATGTTGCAAACTGCCAGTATTGTTTGATGAAATTCCATTTGAATGATGCAAACTGTTCCATGACAACCAGGCGGTACACCACGACTCCAAACACTGCAGTGATCACCAGAGAAATCTACAATATGGGAGACCAGAAGAAAAATCCATATTTTACATCGTGAACAAATCAAAAGCAAAACCATAGATCAAATCTAGTGTCCCCAAGACTTGACGGTATTTATTTTTCCAAGAAAAGACACCTAGATTTAATTTTCTCCTTTACGGAAGTTACATCAAAATAAGTAGGACAAAATTTGTTGTTTTAGTATGATAACAAAGTGATCACACTAACATGCAAATTCTGTCCAATGTCCTCTTAAATGGAATGCTCTGTTTTAACACAAGGTATCTAACCCATCAGGTCAACTCATATAATTTCCATTTTATCTTAGATGATCTCTGTTTCTCCCAAAGAGTGTTTTCTTTAAAAAGGTGCACAAACTCCCTTTGTAAAATCTCCATAACCTGTTGTGATTTCCGTGTTTGTTTAATAGTATGTATTACCAAGGTGTTGGAAAGAATACGGTTTCTGACATTCTCAAGGTCACAAAATGAGCTGGTACCATAGAACTTACTTCTAAATTTGGAATCTCCAAATATTTTGATATTGATGGCTATACTTTACCATGAAGAATATTCCTGAGACAGAAACAAGAAGGCGAGTGACTTTGTCTGAGGAAGGCTGATGCGGCTCAGGTTTTCCTGTGATGGGGTTTACGATCTCCATCTTGTAATATTTGGCTTCAAACTGGGGACGAAGTGTTTCCTATGAGAGATACTAAAGTTATCGAAACATCAAAGGCATAAACTTTAAAAAAATACCCCCAAGAGTTGATACAATACTCCTAAATTTGGTCTACTTTTGTATTAGTATTCACAGTCAAGCAACCTTTTTAAAATAACATCAAATTACTTTCCAAATAAATCCTACTCAGTTTTGTAATTAACATAATTTTCCACTAATGTAATTGAAAAAGCATCACAGAAGTGGTGTGAAAAACACATACTTCACTGATCTCTATTTTCTTCATAAAATAATAAATCTTGTTAGTAGGAAACATCAAGGGAAAATCTAATGGTGGTTAATTGCTTCCATCTGAATGCCAGAGCAGAGGATAATTTTTCATATCCTGTAATACCCCAGGTTCTCTATCTCCTAGTATCCTAACATCTTACCTCCTCTTCTTCCCATTCGATAAGGTCCCAAGTATATGTCAGTATACTCCTTCTCCTCTTCCAAAACTCCAGAAAGACTGTGGCTATAAAATACAATAATGATGATAGTTCTTTACCCAAATCACATCACATTGCTTTCCTTCTTTATGTTGATATATCTTATCTCATAATTAAAATTAATTAAATTATTATTAAAGTAATACAATTAAATTTTATTTTTCCCTTGTTCTCTTCTCCCTGTGTTTATACATCACTATTAGTGTACACTGCTAGAGGGGTGTGCTTTCTTTTACTGGAACCAAGAAGCAGAGATCTTTTGTCAGCACAGCTTATCAAAATGATGCAATCAATATTACTGAGATAAATATTGTCCCTTTTGACCTGCACATGCTTATTCAAAATTATCTAAAGACTCAAATTAAGCCTTCTCCAAGGATCACAAAGACCAGATGCTACTCATCCAGAAATTACAGAGAGGTGGTGTGGGAGACAGAATAAAAGAACAAACTCCAATGGTGAAGGAGAAGAAAAGAAAGACCAGAGAAGAAATTCTCGAATTCATATTCTGGATGGACTCTACATGGACTGAAAAGGACTCAGTGGAAAAAGTATAGAAATTCCTGAACTGTCAGTTTTTCTTTGTAAACAGCTAAGAGAATGACTGCTGTTTTATTTTTTGCTAGGTGAGCTCTATCCTACACCATTCAAGACTTCATGGACATAACTATGAACTCACATATACGTTTTAAAAATTTTTGGTACTAAGGTTTTGTTCTCCTTTTTTCTTTATAACTAAATGTCAGCACCAGTATTGGTTAGAAAAAAGTACGGTGTTCATAATTATATTTTATGACATTTACAAAGCCCTCTTTCACGTATGTTTTAAATTCATTGTCACTCTCATAACATCAACAAAGAGGTATGGCAGGTGTTAACATCATGTGGATTTTGGAAACAAAGATGCTAACTGGCCACGACACAGACAATGAATGACAGAGCCAGGACCAAAACTCTTGCTAGTTTCTCTCCACCCACAGTGCCTGGCTGGTGCATTCCTCAGGCTAGTTTTTGTTTATTGGTTGGTTGGTGTTTGGTTTTATTTTTTATCCCCAAAACTACCATAAGTAATTACTCTTTACTGATTTTTGGCAGTTTTAAAAAAGTATGAATGACTAAAAGAATCAAGACAGCCAAAAATTATTGTCAGCAAGACAAATTAGAATCTCCAAGCACTGGATCTGCTTTCAAGTAGACTAGAATCACTGTTACCAAGTGGGAGATTTAGTATTTAAGAGGAAAGTGGGATATAGAGAAAGTAAATAGAAGAAGAGATACAAAGAAAAGGAAAACTGAAAAAAAAGTAAAATATTAAGCAAGTAAAACATACAGTGATTCCTAGCCTGAGGCTTAACGTTTTTAATACAGTGCATGACATTTAGAATGCTCAATCAAATTCTAATTAACATTGGTCTCCATCAAGGCTTAAAGTTGAAATGTCTCACATGCTTTCTTCCTAATTTCTATTTCCAGCATATACTTGAACAAGAAGCATCAGTCACAAAATATAAAAAATAAAGGTAATCTTAAATTTGGTGTGATTTTAGCTTGAAGCATTACAGAGAACATACTGAATCTTTCTCAGAAAGTAGGGTGCCTACTTTAAATTTTAATATTGAGTTAACCTTTGATAAAAATCCATGCTCAGCTTAAGATATATGCATTTTATTCATGGCTTATTTATTTAAACTTTTCAGGTAATTGACATTCTCACTTTTAAAAATTGTTAATTAGAAAAAGTATAAAGAATAATTGATGTGTATGCAAAACACTAATGAAATAAATTGGTATTTACTAATCCCTACTAAACTTATTAGTAAAAACATAATTAATAATAAAAATAGCTAACTTTGAAAGTTAAAACAGTGTTTGCTTCTGGGGGTGGATATGATTGGCAAGAGGCTCAAGGAACTATATGAGGCATTGAAATCTATATTTTAACAGGGAGATAGTAGTTATACAAGTTCATGTATTTTTCAAAAGTGACCATACTGTTCTTAGAATCTGTGGATTTCACTCTTATGCAAATTATATCAAAAAAAATTTAAAGATTATATGACTTGATTCTTATGAAAATGGTCTTTGCTTTCCCAATCGTGTCTTTTTTTTGGAGACAGTTTCATTTTGTCAACCAGGATAGAGTGTGCAGTGGCACGGTCTCAGTTCACTTCAACCTCTGTCTCCTGGGTTCAAGCGATTCTCCTGCCTCAGCCTCCTCAGCAGCTGAGGCAACAGGTGTACACCACCATACCCAACTGATTTTTTGTATTTTAGTAGAGATGGGTTTTCACCATGTTGCCCAGTCTGGTCTTGAACTCCTGAGCTCATGCAATCTGCCCACCTTGCCCTCCCAAAGTGCTAGAATTGCAGGCATGAGCCAGTGTGCCTGGCTCCAACACTTTTGAGTCTTGTGCTTAGCAATGGTAGGACCTGATCTTGCAGTGAGGGGGCTGAAAAGAAAGTGGGGAGATGGGATGACCATATCTCATTCCACAGTCAGTTCGAGGGTGGTTGCAAACCTAAATTATGATCATAGGAAACCAGCTTGGATTTGAAGAGTAGGCTGAGCAATAAAAATGTCTGCACAGTTCTCTAGAACAGTTGCATTAACCAACTTGGAAAGGAGAAAGGGCTTCTATTCATGCCATGATCGAAGCAAACAGAAGAAGTAGAAGCACGCAGCTCAGGTGATCCCAAGGTTCTCTCAGGTATGTAAATGCATGTGGCTTAGTATAAACATAGAAGGAAAGGCTGGGGCCAACCCTAAACAAAACAGTGCTTGGTTCATCTAGACACACCCAAATTTCAATAACATGTGATGAAATAAAGCTCTACACTGCCCTAAGTTATCAACCAGTTTTGACCTACTGGCTCGCATTTTGTCTACTCTGGCGTAAATAGTCTGTTCCAAATGATGGAAATATGAGATGGAAGGCAAAAATTGTTAGGGTCTCAATTCAGTGACTGTTCTCTCAGAAGAGTTATATCAATTTAATCTGATCCTTGATAGCAGAGGGAAAGACGGCGAGAAAAGGGTTTGAGCTGGCATCTTAAGTTTGAGTATTGCACGTGGGGATTCCAAGAGGAAACAGAAATCTGTAAAAAACTCTATGAAGGATAAAGGATACTTTATTCCTTCTTTTAATAAAGTATCTTATCATCCATTTTACTATAATTGCTGGTGAAAAGTTTGGCATGCAGGATTCTGGCTGAATCAGGTGGTCTCTGAAGCAAGCAGCGGATTAAAAGAATGCAGGAACATTAATGACAGGCCCAGATAAGATCAGGGGTGAGAACTGTGAGGTTGGAAGAACTGACAAACTGAATCAGGGGGATTTATATAGCTGAACATTTTAGAGCTTCAAAAAGATTTCAATGCTCAAGCTACCATTTAGACCAATTAAGTCAAAATCTCCAGGGACAATACCCCAGCACCAGTACATTTTAAAGCTCCCAAAAACTTCCAATGTGCAGCCAAGGTTGAACACTAGCCTAGAGAATAAGCAGTTGTGCTGATAAAAGAGGAAGAAGAGCAGTCAAAGTCAGGGTTACTAAGGTGGTAGAAACTCAGTACAAAAACCATAAGGTCAAGCCAGCGGAAATAATAGCTGTCATTTTGTTTTGACTTCCAACTATTTATAAAGCATTTTAATAATCTCTTTGGATACATTACTTCTAATATCTATAACACCCATTCTCTTAAAAGTCAACAAAAATCTGAATGGCAACTCAATGTACAAGGTGTATATGAAATGTGCCATAAAATGGCTATTACTATTAACCTTAAGTTTAACATATGAGAAATCTGGAGTATTGAGACATTAAGTGACTTGCTGAAGCCACATGGATGACAGGAGGTCTTCCTAACTCTAATATTCCTACTCTATCTATCATTCAGTGCTTCCCTGGATGTTACAGGATAGGCATGAAAATAGGTTCTGATAGATGGGAATGAAAATCTGAGAACAAGCTGTGAGTATCAACAATAAAGAAGAGATAGGAAGATAGGGATGTAAGAAAAATAGCAGAAATGAAATAGCATGGGGTTCAAAGCACAGAAATCTGATATATAAGAGCAAAGGAACAATGGCTCAAAATAAAGATGCAATGGAAGGATGGTGAGGAGGGGAGCAAGTGCATTAAACTTGTTAAATGTTAAAATAAATATACTTAAAAATGAAAGTGTATAAAATGAAAGTCATTACATTTATAGAGAATGAAATATCAAATCAGATATAGATGTAGAAAATGTTTTTACATATATAGATAGGCAGGCTGAAAAATCTAGATATATACATAATGCCCCAAAATATATATATCAAAGCATTAACACTCATTGTCTGTGGGAAGTGGGTTAGGGAGCACTTTGACTTTGTTCATAATACACATTTTAAATGTGTGCTGCCTATGTTCTTTTTAACCACTCTGGAGAGTTTATCAACTCCTTTCTTTGGTCCTGTAAAACTGGTTTGGGTATGGAGTCAGAGGATCAGAGGCCTCCATAGGAGAAGGACATTTTTGTTACCAGGGGAAAGCCAGGTTTGACATGACTCAGGAGGTAGAAGGGATAGTCCAGAAAAACTGAAGATAATAAAGCATAACTCTGTTTCTCAGCAACTACACATTAGATTTACTTTTCACACCTGCCTCTCTGACAACTATGAGACTCTCTTCTCAACTTAAAAAAATTTTGAAGATGCACAGGCTGCACTTAGTTCTTAAACCTCCATTTCCTCAGTTTACAGTGCATAGCAGAGTATCAGAATCAGAGTCACAAATGTAAGGGAGGTTAGATAGTTAACGTGGTTTGTTCCAAATTATTTATTTTAAATTTAAAGAAAACAAGACCTAGAGTGGTTGAACTATATCACTGACCTTGTTTAGAAACTTTCCAAAGCATTTACAGCACTTTATTATCATGTTTTTATACATGATTTTTACTACTCTTGAAGTTAAGTTTCTTCAGTATCTTTTTTTTCTCAGCCTTTTTAGTGTTTTTTTTTTCTTAGCCATTTTGGTGCGCTGA